ACCAAGTTCCAAAGCGTTGATTTTTCATTGAGTTTCCTGTTGGAGATCGTACCAAAATTGAGTATATATATTGGGACAAGTTGCTCGTGGAATTATGGGCAATAGAAGAAGACTAAGAGATTAGGTCAATGGAAGAGAATTTGAACTGTGATTCATTCTTGGAGGGTTAAAAAATACAAGTATCTATTTCAAAAGTATCCTTATAAAATACAGAATTTCGCGTATGAGAGTTAAATGGACATATTTGAAGTTTAAAAACCATAACAATCAAAATATTAAAGGGGATGGACTATACTGACATTTTAGTCCAAGTTAAATAACTGTGGATTCACTATTCATGTAATGTGAGTTAAATGAACACACTTTAATGTTTAAGAATGAAAAAATATCAACATTTTAAAATGAAGGGACTAAACTAATAGTTTATCAAGTTAATTTAATCAAATGGAAATGAAAAAAAAACATTTTTCTAACCAAAATAATGTAATAAATAAGATTTGAAACTACAATCAAGTGCGCATCATCTAACATGTTTACCAACAAACAAAATAATGTGACTTAATGTAATAAATTACGATAATTCTTCCTACGATAATAATGACCACTTTATACGGAAATTGAATCGAATTTTTGAAGGAAAGATGTGTAATTCTTCTTACGATAACCCTTCAATAGTCTTAACTTTATTTTGAATCTGAAGCTCTCCCTTCTCTCTAAACTTTGGTTTTTCACTCCCCCCCTTCTATTCAGGGCTGCCGCCGGTTCCCCTGGGTGTCCGGCGGTGGCCCAACCTGTTTTCTTTCCTGTTTTTTTTCTTTCTTGTTTGTCCTGCTGCCTTTCTCTTGCCCTTGTTGGCTTTTTCCAGATCCTTGTGGTCTTTCTCCAAGTGGTTTTATCCACAGTGTTTTTTTGGTTCGTAGATCTGTTTGGCCTTGCTCATTGGATCCAAAAATTGCAGCTTGGGGAGCTTCTAATGGTGGTTTGCTGTTGGGGGTCTGCTCCATGTTGGTGTGCTCATCTCTTTTGGTGGACAGATTCACTGTTCCTCCCTTCCTTCTACCTTTGGTTTGCTTGATTCCTGTAGGTTGACTGTTGTGGGGGTCTGGTGTCATTTTTGGTGTTGTGGGTTGTGGTTCGCTGGTTCTCTGGAGATGGTGAAGATGAATCTTCTCTTTCCCGATTCCTGGTCATCCATGCCTCCGGCTTCCTCGGCCTCTTTCAGCTCAGAGCATCCCGGTTTCAGCCTGCTCACCGCCGAGTTTTCTCTTCCACGAGATTCACTGTGATGGGTCGTCTTTGAACGATCCCCAGGTGGCGGCTTATGGCGTTGCAATGTTCAATAGCCATGGGCTTGTCTGGTTTCGGGCGAGTTGAAACCTTGCTTGTGCTGTGCTGATTGTTGTGGAAGCAAGGGGTTCTGGGTTCACTTTGATAGCCTTCTGTTTTGGATTCTTCTGTTGGATTCAATCTTTTCCAGTTCTTTCTGGCTTTTGCTTTTGGTTTGGATTGCTCTGACTTTTGAGTTCATTGTTGTTTTGCTTTCATTGTGTTTATCCCACTCCTTGTAACTGTGATTCTCAATGCAATACAAGTGCTTCTATTGTCAAAAAAAAAAAAAAAAAAACCCTTCAATAGTCTCGAATTAGTACAAACAGAAAATATCTTTTTACTACACACGGAAATGCCAATTATGATAATTCTTCCTACAGTAACAGTAATCACTGATCCCCTGCCTCATGAAGAAAGCCATAAATGATTTCTGTTTGAGGAACTCTGTTTTCAATCTCTTTCATTTGATCATTTTTTTAGCCATGACTTAGAACAGAGGACAACAGTGTTTTAATAGAAAAAAACCATTGACCCAGATCTGCTGCAAAGTCTGCAACCAGCAAAACCTTTTTACGTTTCCGCCACCACTACTACGTGCGCGTCCCGTCAAAAACTTCGTTTTCCCCCATGAAAATATCCAATGCCATCATTTATGACGCCCCCCTCTCTTCCGCCATAGCCACTTCTTCGAAACTTCTCCGCTTCTAGTTTTCTAATGGCTTATAAAATGGAAACACCGACCCCTGTTTTCTGACGGGTGAGGCTCTGGCTGTCTCGTTCTTGCGTCTCCTCCAAAAATTGCCCTTGTCCGCATTTACTCTTTAGTTCTTCCGCGCAGTAACCTCAGCTCTATCAGCCAATCAACTTCTCGAAATCAATCCTTCATTTTCTCCATCCATTTATTGCGGGTTACTGATTCGACTCGTCTTCCCCTGTTTTTCCCTCGATTCGGGATCTCGTTCGTGGATCCCGCCCAATTCACTTGCCCGCTGGACATTTCTCCGTCAATCCCGTTTCTGGAGATCGATTGGGGGCATTTCTGAATCTGGGTTCTGGTCCAAATCCGTCACTGTCTGGGTAATTAGTCTACTAACTGGTTCTTCCTTTTATACCTCTGCTTCAAGGGTTTTGCTTGTTTTCCCGGGAACAGAGAAAAGGGTAAGTGAGAATCCCACCAGTGAAAAAAGATGTCTGCGATTCGACCCGAGTCGACGAAGCAGCTCGCGACGAGCAGCGTGGTGGTGGGCTACGCTCTCTGCTCCAGCTTGCTCGCCGTGATCAACAAGTTCGCCATTACCAAATTCAACTACCCAGGGCTTCTCACGGCTTTGCAGTACTTGACCTCGGCGCTCGGGGTCTGGGTTTTGGGGAAATTAGGCTTCTTGTATCACGATGCTTTCAAGTTGGAGACCGCAAAGAAGTTTCTCCCCGCTGCCTTTGTTTTCTACCTTGCAATCTTCACCAACACCAATCTGCTGCGCCATGCCAATGTGGACACCTTCATTGTGTTCAGATCTTTGACCCCGCTTCTTGTTGCTATAGCCGACACTTTGTTCAGGAAACAGCCGATCCCATCTAAGCTCACTTTCATGTCCCTGTTCATCATTTTGGGAGGTGCTGTGGGTTATGTGGCTACTGATTCAGCTTTTACCCTCACTGCATATTCATGGGCACTTGCTTATTTGGTGACAATCGTGTCTGAAATGGTTTACATCAAGCACATTGTGTCGAGCATTGGACTGAACACTTGGGGCCTGGTGTTGTACAACAATCTGCTGTCTTTGCTCATATCGCCTGTGTTTTGGGTTCTCACTGGGGAGTATCGTGAAGTGTTTGCTGCTGTCGGTTCGAGCGGTGGGGATTGGTTCAGGATTGATGCTTTCTCTGCGGTGGCATTGTCTTGTGTGTTTGGTGTGCTCATCAGTTTCTTTGGGTTCGCGGCCAGGAAGGCGATTTCTGCTACTGCATTCACTGTGACTGGTGTGGTTAACAAGTTTCTGACTGTTGTGATCAATGTGATGATATGGGATAAGCACGCCACTCCATTCGGATTGCTTTGCCTCCTCTTCACGCTGTGTGGAGGTGTTCTTTACCAGCAGTCCGTTACTGGTGCACGTGTCGAGCCTGTTGCTAAACCGAGAGACAATGGCGAACCGGATGCAGAGAATGTGATTCTTATCGAGAGGAAAGAGGGCGACGAGGATAAGTAGGAAGGAAGGCTTTGTCTGGTAAAACTTGGATGAGAGGACTGGTAGTTTATGTGTTCCTTAAGCTTGTTTAGAACTATGATTGTTTGAAGAATCTTACCAGATCACAGGACTCGGCTGGAATTAGTTTTTGTGTCTTAATGGCGATTATTTACCGGTGTCGATTCATTGGGTTTCACTTGATATTATATCATAGTCTGGGAGGGTACCTTTTTCTCAGTAAATTGTGTTCATGCTTCTCAAACTGATTGTTGGAGCAGTCCTACAGACAAAGTTGAGAAGTTTGATTCAGGGCACCTTCAAAGGGGTTACTATCATATAGCTCAATACAAAATGTTAAAATGCTTCCAAATGTTTATGAATACGTGATTATCCATTGCTAGAGCTTATACTTTATTCTTGCTCTTTTCATATTAAGTCACGTTTGCAGTATATTTCTAAGACGTTGGAATATATTTTTCTATTTATGCTATGCTAAGAACTTTTCTATTAGCAGCATTGAGAGGTCGAGAGATTGACACATTGTACCATTTCGTGGTTGCATGAACAGTTTACTAAGTTTCATTCTGTCGTTCCCTTACTGCCCAAAAAGTTGTTTTGATCATATGCTAGGATTGAGCTCAACATTCAGAGGAATGGGAGATTGTTTTGCTTTCTGAACGGTCATTTGCTTAGATTGGCCTCTGATCTGAGCCTGCATCAATTATGTGCCAGAATTGCAGGATTGGCTGGTTTTCTTTCAGCTTGCAGAGATTAGTTGACATGAAACGGAATAGAATGAATGATGTTCAGTATATGTCTGGAAATTCCCAGAAATTATCTTCAGTATACAGACTGTTACATCGGCTGAAATCTCTACAGGAACAGAGTCCATCCTTGAACCGGTGAAACCGGGTCCTATCCCTAACAACAATTTCCTAATTGTAAATCCTGGGGATAAACTTGCTCGTGTGTGGCAGTCACCACAGACCCTGAGGTTCTTCATGATCCTTATAGGAACTCCAGGGCCTACACTTATGAGTCCAAAGGCAATGCCAAGCTTCTCTTTATGGAGACTTAAGTTCAGTCTCCTTTTCCTCTTCATCTCAAACAGCACTTCTGATGTTTGAGCAACATAGCCTGCCTTCTTCAGTTCCACTTTTTAGTCCTCCACCATCTCATAGATCTGCTCAGACATTTGGTGACGAATCCCCTCAATCAGACAGTATCATGGGCCCTTCTTCATCCCTCTTTTTGCCATCAGTTCCCTGATCCTCTTAGCATCATCCCACTTCTTCATCGACTTGTATATGTTCGAGAAAAGTATATAGGTCCCATCATTATCCGGATCAAGCTCCAGAAGTTGCTTTCCTGCTCTTTCTGCGGCCTCCAGGTTCCCATGGATTCTGCAGGCATCAAGCAGACCCCCCAGCACGAAATGATCAGGTGCCATTGGCATGCTCTGTACCAGTTCCTCTGCTTCAGCTATTCTGCCAGCTCGGCCGAGTACATCCACCAAACCTCCATAATGTTCAATGGTGGGATGAATTCCATACTTCTCTCAGCCATTGAGTTGAAGTATGCAACTCCTTTGTCTGTCAATCCAGCATGGCTACAAGCAGCCAAGACGCCAATAAATGTTATGGCATCTGGTTTTAGTCCTTCCTCCGGCATCCGATCAAAGAACTTCAAACCCTCTTCTCCTAGGCCCGACATAGCTAGTCCTACAACCAGAGCAGTCCAGGTCATAACATCTTTCTCCGGCAGCTCCTCAAAAACTTGCTGGGCACTCTCTATGCTTCCGCATCTTGCATACATGTCCACCAGTGCTGTTCCTAAAGCAACATCCATCTCAATCTTATGCATCTCGATGTAGCCATGTAACCACCTTCCCAGCTCCAGGGTGCCCAAATGCGTACAAGCGAGGAGCAAGCATGCCATGGTCACCTTATCCCCTTCAATCTTCTTCTGCTGCATCTCACGGAACAGTGCAACAGCCTCATCATATTTACCATCCCCGACAAGGCCATTGATCATAACATTCCAGCAAAACAAGTTCTTTACAGGCCTTTTGTCAAACATCTCTTTCGCAACAGAGAGACAGCCACATTTGCAGTATACATACATGAGAGCCGTGGTGAGGATCAAATGGTATCCAAAACCATTCTAACCAATGTACTCATGAACCCTCTTCGCCATAGACAAGTCTCTCGTTCTAGCGCAGGCAGTCAACACATTCACCAACGTAATTTCATTCGGCTTCACATTTTCAGCCTCCATTCTCCGGAAGACCGTGAAAGCTTCATTACACTGACCCTCCTGCGGGCTGCGAGTACGCTCCTATCATTGTCGCCCAAGACACAACTGTTCTCTCATCCATTTTGTCAAACACCTTCCGAACAGACACCATATACCCACATCCCGAGTACATATTCATCAACGTGTTCTGAATGTAGGTATCGCAGGCAAAACCCATCTTCGTGGAATGGCAATGAAGCTTCTTTCCAATCGACAAGTCCTAACAGGACTTGAACAACGAGGGGAAAGTGAATCCATCAGGTACCAAGCCATGAACCAGCACCATTTCTCTGTAGAAGAGAATCGCCTCCTTGTGCATGCCCCTGTTCGTGAATCCCCTGACAATGGCGATTGAAAGTGAAAGGAGTCGGAGCCGGTATCTGCGAGAACACGAGGGTAGCGTAATCGAGGCTTCCGGATTCGTGGGCAGAGCAAAAAGCCACGATCTTGGCGGCAGTGAAAGGGTCGGTGAAGAGGCCTGTTCTTAGCATCTGGGCATGGATTTGCTTGAGCTCCTTCATGGAAGAGCAGGTTTCTAGAGATAGGATACATGGGTGTGGCTGATTGGGTTTCGGAGTTGGATTTTCTGAAGCAAAGGGTTGTTTTTTATGATGATGATGGAGGGTAGCCATTTTTATGATGCTGGGTTGTTCGTTACTTTCAGGTAACAGGCTTCCACTTCCATTTCCTTCTTCTCCAACGGATATTCCTGCTTTTTTGTTGGTAAATATATTTTTTTTTTTTGTTCAGTCCATTCTTGTAAAGATATCTTGGAAGAAAGAGAGGATGGATGGTGCTAGTGACTTGTGAGTGGTGGCCATGGTTGTTTTTTTTTTTTTTGACAAACTTGGCCATGGTTGTCACTGGGGTGAATTGTGGCCGGTTGAATCTGGTATAATTGGTGTTGGTTATGAGTTTGGTTGAAATATTGATGATCGATAAGATAGAAAATAAGATTGATTTTTTTATATATGAACAAAATGATGTTATTTTTAGTGAAATGATTTATTTCATGAATTTGAAAGGTAAAATGTTAAGGTTATTTGTTTGATTCAAACATAAATGTTTGGGTGTTGATGTTAAATGTTGTATTTAAATATGAGTATTTGTTATTTTGTTTTGAATGTTATACTTTATTCAAATATGAATTTAGATTGTAAGTAGATTTGTTTTCAAATATGTTTTTAATTTTTTATATATGTTTAAATTCATTTGATGCTAGTGGTTTTTTACTTTTCTACATATTTTGTGAATTCTGCATGAAATGGGCAAAGTAGTTGTACCCTGGATCGAACCATCACGCTTGCTAAATTTGTGCAACAATATAAACTGACTTGACAACCTTGCTAGTGATTAGTGAAGTGACTGGTCACTGGTCTCCAACCACTAACGTCCATGATACTAGTTTTGACGTTTGTAGTTACAAATGCAGTGTGTGAAACCCTATCGTATCGGTCATCAGTGGTCCGGCCGAGAAAATCTCCTATGAGAGGCTAAATCTTTAGGTAGCTTTTTAGCAATATTAAAGAGTTTAACCACAATTTCATCATATAATGCCCTATTGCTTACTTTTTTTTTATACAACCTCCGATACAATTTTACAATCTTGTATAAAAGATGGTGAAGACCAAGTGAAGTGACAAATGGCCATGTTGGAGAAGTTAGTCATCTATCATTCTGACTAATAATAAATTCCTCTTTTTTATTAATAAAGGTTGACACCAATCTACTTGGCTTCACTTCCCCCACCGTGAATATTATACTTCTATCACAACATACCCTCCGTGTCATGACCAGCTACTCAAACCATGGCTAACAACCCTCATTATTATTAGAAGATGAAGCTACAAGGCTCAGCTAGGCGCTTCTCAAGTTGAAGCCACCATCCACCACGAGGTTCACCCCGCTCACGAACTTGGACTCATCGCCGGCAAGAAACAGAGCAGCCTCCGCAACATCGTTCTCATCCAGAGCCACGCCTTTCAGGGCCGCCTTCTCCGAACAGAGATCCTGAACGCCCTCTCGATCCAGTCCCAAGCTCTTCATCCCCATCGGCGTCGGCACCCCCGTCGGCGAAATCGAGCTCACCCGGATCCCATACTCTCCCAGCTCCACGCACAGGTTCTTCATCAACCCGACCACCGCGTGCTTGGACGACGTGTAGGCGTGGGCGAAGAAGCCGTAAGTCTCCGTCAGCACGCTGGCCGTGAACAGAATCACCCCTCCTTTCTTCGCCGGAATCATCACCCTGGTGCGTTGAATTAATGAATCAGGTTGAAGTCAGGAGGACCCTCAAATTTGAAATGTAGGTAAAATCACATGTGAAATTCGTAATAAATTCAGATTTCTGGCTCCGCCACTACCTGGCTGCGTGCTTGGCGCACAAGAACCCGCCGAACACGTTGACGTCGAACACCCGCCGCAGATCGTCCTCGTCCGCGGCGGCGATCCGGTTCCCGGCCGGGTCGCCCGGTACGCCGGCGTTGATGAGGACGATGTCCAGCTTCCCGTGGGCCGAAACGACGCCGTCCACCGCGCTCGCGACCTGGCTTTCCTTGGTGACGTCGCAGCAGACGAAGGTGACGGCGGCGGGGTGGTGCGGCGAGGCAGAGTACGACGAGCTGATTTCTCCGGCGACGGAGTGTCCCAGATCGGACTGGACGTCGGCGATTACGACCTTCGCGCCGTTTCGGGCGAACAGCGCGGCGGTGCTGGCCCCGATGCCGCTTGCTCCGCCGGTGATCAACGCGACCTTCCCTGCCAACCTGATTTGAATTGATCAGTGCTGTGGGAACAATTGGGCAGAAATTAAAATCAAAAGGGATATGAACACTTGGGTTCCGTTCAATCAGTGGGTTTACCTCTGCTGGGAAACGGATTGTTGGGCGGAATCCATTGATGAAGCTCTGGTTTTCTCTGTGTTTATTAGATACGTTGAGGAAACAGAGTCTATATATAATCTGCAGATGATAACCATCGAAGGCGGGCGGTTGGGACTGTGATCAATTAATGTGCAGAGGGGATGACTCGTTCATGGCGTTCTACTGAGCAACCGTACTGTTCTTTTAAGTCTCGGTCTCGTCTGATTGGTTTTGTAGTCGTAAGCTCTAACACGACAGAAGCATTGAAGGCAAAGAATTTGTGAAATTGTATCGGAGTTTGTACATGGAAAAAAAAATCGACAACGGGATATGTATTTTGTGCTGAAATTACGGTTTGGTGAAGTTTAATCATTTTAACAGTTAAAAATTATCTGTAAGTTTATGGTTCGGCAAGTAAGTTTTCGATGTCATGATACTAGGGCTGCAAATGAGCGAGCGGCTCGGCGTTCGAATCGGAAAAAAACTCGTTCGGCACTCGACGCGTTGTTTAACAAGCCGGCTCGCGAGCCGACTCGTTAGTAAACGAGCCAAGCTTGAGCTAGACCATGCTCAGCTTGATAAGCTCGTGAGCTAGGTTGACTCGGTGGCTTGTTGAGCTAAGCTCGCGAGCTGGCTTGTTTAGAGCTTGTGGAAGGATTAATTACTCTTTTGAAATGAAAATTATCTTGTTAATAAGGATGTCTATGAAAGTTAGATGTTATTTTTAGTTTCTAGTGTTCTTTTTATCATTTTTAGTTTCTAATGTTCTTATTTGTACACATTTTTCAGCAAAGAATGGTTTCAAATCGAGCTCATTTTGAGTCGAGCTTGTACTCAGCTTGACATGTTGTGTTAATAAGCATTTATCGAGCTCTATCGAGTCGAGCTCGAGCTGGATTATTTTTAATCGAGACGAGCTCAAGCTCGAGCTGGATGATCAAAATTCGAGTTCGAGCCGAGCTCGAGCTGAAAAATTTATAAACGAGCCGAGCTCAAGCTAAGCAAAAACTCGACTCGACTCGGCTCGTTTGCAGCCCTATCCAATGGCGGAGCTAAGTTAATAGTAGGGAGAGGCGGGATCAGTTAGCGTGACTACCCCTAAAGGGGTAGTGATTTTTGACACCCCCTTTATGATTGGCCAATTTTATTTCCAATCATTGGCAAGTATTAATTAAACTGATTTTTTATTTTTTTTAATCTTGTAATTTGGGGTCTCTCACCACATTGGAAAAGAGAAAGAATCTGGGGAAAAACGAAATCACCCCCATTAATTACATAATTAATTTCTCTCACTGGTACATTAATTACACGTACCACTCCACTGGTACACGTACCACTCCACTGGTACACGTACCACTCCACTGGTACACGTACCACTCCACTGGTACACGTACCACTCCAATGGTACACGTACCACTCCACTGGTGCGAGCAATCCACAAGGTAGGTTAGAGTGAGAACAATACCAGTGCAATGATATTTTTCATAACAATGATAAACAATAATAGGGAAAAAATAGGAACTTTCCATTAGTAGCCAAAAACTGTGTTCCAAAATGGGTTGCAAAATTAGGGAAATGCCAACAACAATGCCAAAAGCAATAAATTATCCTTCGAATGTGAATAAACATAAAGTCTTCACAATTTTTTAAGCCTAAACAGGACATATGGTTACACGTACCACTTAGGGATGGCAATCAAACCCATGCCCACGGGTATCCGACCGCCCCCGCCCCAGTCAACGCGGGGAATCCCCGCTTTGACTGGGTATGGGGCGGGTATGGGTAAAACCCGCAAAATGTTTGATGGGTATGGGGCGGGTATGGTTTTAGCCTCCCCCGCCCCATACCCATACCCATACCCGCCCCACCAAGAATATTTGTTCACATATAAAAAATACATGGATGAAATAGTAATCTATCAATGATAGTGAGGGTAAATAAAAAAAATAATTAGTAGAAATGCAATTGAGTGGTCACCCAAATCAAAACCTAATTCATTTTCCTCAACTCTCTCTTCACTCTTTCACTTTTCCCTCGTGTTAGCAAGATTATATTAGTTCATTATTGCTTAGTATATGTATTAGAGTCAGATAAATAATGATTTGGATTACATTGTAGTACTCTATTTTATGGATTAAGGGAAAGTTTAGGATAAAATGCTTTGAACCATATTAAGAATAATTGTCACTTTCTCGACTTCATGATATAATAGGTGTCTTTAATGTTATAATTGAAAATTTACATGTAAAATTTTATGTATTATAATGTTGGATGTACGGGGCGGGTATTACCCATGGGTACCCGAAACCCACGGGTATGGGGATGGGTTTGCAAAATCTTCCCCCGCATGGGTATGGGGCGGGTATGGGTTTGGATATTTGGAAGCGGGGATGGGGATGGTTTAGGCAAACCCGCCCCAAACCCGCCCCATTGCCATCCCTAGTACCACTCCACTGGTACACGTGGAGTGGTACGTGTAATTAATGTACCAGTGAGAGAAATTAATTATGTAATTAATGGGGGTGATTTCGTTTTTCCCCAGATCCTTCCCCATTCATAATTACCAACGTTTTTCTCCTTCCCCATTTATAATTATTATCACAATTAAGGCTTTCCCAATTTACAAGATTACAATAAATAAAGTAAAAAGTTTAAATGGAAAAGTGATCAATCAAGAGGAGGGTGTCAAAAACCACTACCCCTTTAGGGGTTAGCATAGTATCCGACCCCAGGGAGAGGCTATAGCCCGCTCAATTCTCTCATGTAAGATTATATGTTAATTTTTTACCCACCACACCACCCGTTCGAATTCTCTATACGTAAATTTTTATCCCCCTCTCTTTTGAATTTCTTGCTCCGCAACTGACGGTGTCACGAACCCCGTTTAAATGGAGATGCAATCGCCAATGGGTCAAAAGGAAAGCCATTTTGACAGAATTTGGCGAATGTGTGAGCTGAAATATGAATGGCCCCAACATTTGCGCGTTGGATCTAACCCAATTTGTTGTGGGCTAGAGCCCAATAGTCAGGGCTACCAAACTTGCTCGAACCAGCCCATATCCGACAAGACTCTCCTGAACCTGGAGTGGACTGGACCCATCAGATATGATTGGATCGGGATCTAGTCCCCGAGCAAATTGATTTGCACAGTAGATAGGAAATCAAAATATTTTTTTTTGGTAGAAGGAAATCAATTTTTAGATGATGCTCTTACATTACCTATAGCTACTATTGTACATTTACATAGTCTAGAGTGAAAAGAAAGATTTTTTTCTCTTCAAACTATCGATTATTATGTTACATCAAGAACAAGTTTCGGAATCGAACAAGCAAGTAGTTCGTGAATGATAGTCTAGGAGGATATATTTAAAGAGATTTGTTGAGCTGGGCAAACATTGAGTGTATTTTACAACAACAAAAAAATCAAAATATGATAACACGTGGACTTTTATTATAACTTGTACTAGTCAGATATTTTCTTATTTAAGATATTTTTTAAGTTTTATTTTAACATTTATTAGGGACACCCCCTATATAAAATTTCTTGATCCGCCACCATTAGACACGTGATTTCTAAAATCTGCGTTGAATTCACTACAAATTTTAGGCAACATGTCTGATTTTTTCAGTTAGAAAACTGCTTTCACAGGTAACGGCCGCAACCCAGCAGCTGCAGCAGCCGGACCGACATAGTCCGAGTGCAATTTAGACATACTAATGCAAACAACACCACATGAGTGTACAGACTAATGATAGAATCTATGATTTATGGATAGAGTCATGGATAGAGAGGCAACTTGTGAAACCAATGAGAATATATATCACTTTCGTTCACAAAAGCAAACGGCCGTTACCAAAGATTCCAAAGTAATGAATGTAAAATGGTATATATGAACAGAAAAAGGAATCAAGAAGAAGAATGAATGAATGAATGAATGAATGAAATTTCAACCAACTACGAACTGCTGGCTGCAGCCAATAATATGCAAACAAACATCTAAAGATTTCAACGCAATTTTCCCATAATGCATATAATATATATGGTGAAAGGAAAGAGTAGAAGAAGAGAGACAAATAGCCGTTTCCTTTGTGGCAGTATCCTAAGTGGGAAGTTATTTGGAAGCCTCTCAATTAATCTCTTCTTAATTACCCTAACCACATGTAGCAAGAAACTAATTAAATGGCCTTTTAATATTACAGATAGTTCAGGCTAGCGTATATAAGGTGTTCACTAATCTTATTGTATGCTTAGTGACAGACTGACAGTGAGTTTCACAATTTAGATCATGAAGTGCATCTAATAGATCGAGCCATTTGCTCGTCATCTACTATGGCGTATCGAATTAAATTTTTCATATATGCTTGTCTAGGACTAGATCCTGGTACTCGGTCTGGAACGACCGGAGTCGAATTGTGAATAGTTTTCTTTTTTAAGACTCATCAATACCCTGTTGCAAACGATTAAGACTTTGGACTTTGTTAAAATAATTGTGTATATTTATGATGGACTATTTCAATGTTGGTGATTCGTACTATTTTGTTTGGATGACCACCCAAAGAATATCATCATTTTCTACAAATTTCTTCTACCAAAAAGAGTTGAGAAAGTATTCTCCCCCCTTCTAAATTTTTTCTCATAATATCTATTAGATGAGAAAATTCCTATCTATTGAGAGATTGCATGCACCAATTTCATCTAAAATAGGGAAATAGATGGGGTTCAAAACTAAGAGCTACAAAATTTATTGTGTTACCACTCTTGATACGAATTATACCATCCTGATATAATCATATCAGGGAATAGTACGATTCATCTAAGTGGTGTAATAAGACGCGAGTTTTTTTAGGTTTTATAACCCTGTATAGGAACATATCAAGCCTTTTATGATTATTGGGCATCAATCATTCAAATTAGCCT